TTCGATGACACAACTCTTTTCACCTGTCAAAACAAGAAAGAATACGTCATACAACAAATAATAATAATGCTATCAATGTTTAGGCAGCAATTGCAGTCCATACCTGTCTACTAGACAATTAAGTTGAGATAGTAGTATCGGTAAATCTTCTATTTTAAGGATTTTACATAATAATAAAACCCATATCACATCTCTTTATATCAAGAAATGACTGAAAATGATTTCTAGAGAGTGAATTTTTGTAATTGGATATAAGAAAAATCAATTCAGGATGCATTCCTATCAAAAATACTTTTTTCAGACGAAGTCATTTAATAATATTGAAACTGTGAGTCGATACATATGCATTATTGATTTCCAGTAAATCCTAGGATGCAAACTGTGTAGTTTCAACATCGTTGGTCGTTAAATGTATGGTGTGATATTTTGGATGACTATATAATTGGACCACTCTTAATTGCAATACGTACACAAATTTCTTGCTTAACACTTCCATCATTATTAGATGTTCCCCTATCGTCTGGTTATATGATTTCAATAAGACGGTGCACCGCCACATTACGCTTGTTCTTCTAGCAATGCATTAAATATTTTATATCCAATTAAATGGATAGGAAGAAGAAGTCTAACCCTTTGGCAACAACGTTCTCCTGATATTAATCTTCTAGATTTCTTTCTATGGGGCTTCATCAAAGAGAAAATTTTTTCGACAAAACTTAAGACATGTAACGACATAAAAGAAAGAATTTGACAGGCTTATGCTACTGTAACACTCCAAATGTTCGCAGTGTGACGTCCGTTTAATACTCGAATTAACAAATGTTTAGAAGTCCAGAAACAATTTTGAACAATTATTACAATAAATTCTATATGCCAAACTTTTTATTGTACTTATTTTATTATTTGCTCACTCATTCCTCAAAATTTCTGAATTTTTTATTCTCAAGATCACGTGAAGATCATGGTATTATAGGCCATTGGATTTGTCTTGACCTCAACTATTATGCTAAACTATAACTATAATGATAAAAATATGTAGTCCTATTTAAAAAAATGATAACTTTGAAGCCTCTCAAAATATGACCTTGAGAAAGAAATAATTCCCATAATATGTATCCCTTCGAATCAAACAATTTCTTCCTTAGATATTTTCGCGCATCATTAACAGTAACAGAGATATTGTTTTGTAATACTGGGACACCCTGCATAATGCTCAAATTTTTTTTATAGATGAATTTCACTGATTATCCATTGCCAAATGTGCTAGTATGCTAATAATTCAGTATCAAATATTCTACTTCAGTAGATTATCCACTGATTCAGATTTCGAGAATGTGTTTATCACAAATAGGTCGTAGGCATGATAAATTCTTTTCTCGTTTTTTTTGTCCTTGAAGGACAATCCATATCTTACTTAATTTAATACACAAATATATTAATATATTAAGTGTACAATTTTGCTTCCGCCGTTTTTTTTCCGAAATTCGAGGCTTTATTGTAAAAAACTGGTTATACATTTATGATTCAAAGTATTGTCCATCGCTGGCCACTACTTTCTCCCATCTTTCGGGTAGCGTA